CACAGTTTAGAATACTGTGAAGTCTATAAAACTATTCTTAAAGGAGTCACAAATCCAGATTACAAACACTCACTTTCAAATTACTGGGTGAATTGATTTATTTTAAAATACCATTTTGTTCTATAGATTGTTCAGTAAACTATAACATGAATAACTGTTCAATAAAAAATTGAGAGGAAGTTGAATTGAGCCATTTTGTTGTGCATGCATGTGCTCGTGCATGCTTGTGTGTAGTGTGGAAGAGTGTTTGATATATTTTGTGAATCTGAGACTTTCTACCTTTCTGAAAACAATAGCATAAGCTATTTTAGGGAAAAGAAATGTTCCCTCATTTACAAAATTTTCAATTATTGTTCTTGTGAAGAGATATTTTTAGCCTTTTAAAAATCATATTAAGTTTGGGCCAGCCCGGTGGCGCACTGGAGAGTGCGCCACTTGGGAGTGTGGTGGCGCTCCTGCCGAGGGTTCGGATCCCATGTGGAGACCAGTTCCCGCTCACTGGCTGAGCGTGGTGCGGGTGCAACACTGAGGGTTGTGATCCCGTTACCGGTGAGTAAAAAAGACAAAAAGGAAAAAAAAATCATATTAAGTTTGATAAATATTTGAGAAATAATATAACTTTTAGAAAATGACAATATTTTAAATTGGTGCAAAAATTGTTGGAGTAGCCATATACATATTCATTTCCTTATTGAAATGTATGTATATATACACACATATAAATATTTCCAGAGCATTTCATGTGAAATATGTAAAAATCTTATTTTATTCTCACAAACATTAGTGTTAAATCTTGATTTTTCAAGTTAACAATTAGGCTTCCTGCAATAAAAATACAAAAAAGTCAGAATCCTCTCGTTACTCATAGAAACAGTAGACAATAATTAATAGAAACAGTGCAAAGTAAAAAAAAAATTCACTTTTACTTTAAAATTTTTCTTTAGCTTCACCGAACTTCAACCAGTGCATCTTTGCCCCCAATAATTTGCTCCTAGCACCTTGATTTCTTTGGAAATAGTCACTGACAGAGAAAACTGCACCAAAAATATGAGTCATTTCCTCTCTTTTTCATACCCATTTTTCACTTTTACATACACCTCAAAATTATTTCTTTTTCTTTTCTCCATTCATTGCCCTTTTATACAAGGTCAAAAGTCATAATATTAATATTTATTGAATATTTTCCAAGACAGGCACCATATTATGTGCTTTTCATGCATTATCTCTTCTATTTTCTCAGAATTAATAATATAATGACCATTATTCTAATAGGGAAATTGGAATGACCTTAAAGAGTTTAAATTACATAACAAAGAATGCAAACATGGTAAGCACTGGAACTGGTATTTAAACCCAGGTCTATCTGTTGGTGAAACCCTTGCTCTTAACTACACTATCACTAGTTCAGGAAAAGTCCTTCAATGAAGGCATCACTGTGTATCCCAGCACTGCATTATTTTCACTGGATTATTATGTCCCATTCAAAACACAATAGAGTCACAACCAAAATTAAAAATGACATCAGGAAAGTATACTTAAAGTGGACCCCCTTTTTTTTTTTTCCTTTTTGTCTCTTTTTCCGTGACCGGCAACGGATCGCAACCCTCAGTGTCGCGCCCATACCAGACCGGGACCGGCAACGGGATCGCAACCCTCGGTGTTGCACCCGCACCTCGCTCAGCCAGTGAGCCGCCGGTCTGTATGTGGGATCCGAACCCTCGGCGGGAGCGCCTCCACGCTCCCAAGCAGCACACTGTAGCAGTGCGCCACCGGGCCGGCCCAGGACCCCCTTTTAAAGCACATGTGCATGTGCACACGCACACACACACGGAGTACAGAAGGAGTAGAATAACAAACATATATTACCAATATTATTGATGTTGTGGATATTAATTTTTATTTGAATATAATAATAATAGTATTATGTGAAAGTTTGCAGTTGAAAAATGTTTTCTTTATATATTAATATGTTATATAAATTTTCAGAACATTTTTGTGAGAGAGTGCTGCTTTGCCTCACATGGAGTGATGGGGATGCAAAAAGGATTACTCAAAGCCCATTTTGTCTGAGCAGTGAGAGACCCCAAAGGGGTCAATTTCCTGGAACCCTCAAGAGACAGGCATTCCTCCTTTGGGAAATTAACCATGAACTGGGGTTCTCTCCCTGTATTTATTCTCCAGACCAAGAAGTTACAGAAAAGGAACATAACTGGAGTTATGGCTAAGTATAGTTTAACAATAGAAGCTGGTAACATCAGTGAAATAACAAAGTGACATTCCATAATGCAATTTGTAAAAGGTTAAGTCAATCCACCAATAAAACTTGTTCTTAGCAAATACTGTCTTTTCCTACAGCAATTTCCTTAGTGTATTTACATAACACTCAAGTAACTTTCTTAACATATCAATCAGTAGGTCAACCTGCTCCAAGGACGTCTGTCCTTGAGAGCCAGCAACTTCGCTGTGTTACAATTCTATATCCACAACAGAGACTATAGCCTGGGGAAAGTGTCCTGTCTTTTGCAAACTTAATATTTCTATATGTAATTTTAAAAGTCTAGGTTATACCTAAAACTACAGGGCTTGGAGGCCCTGTGAAACACATTTGCTTTATAAATGTTAGTATACTCTATAAGATAGAAAATCGGTGTTATTATTCTCATTTTTTTATAGAGGTTATGCAGCTTTTTGTAAGGAATGAACTTGGAAATGTCCATAATAGCATGCAAATTTGTGTGTATTAATATGTAAAAATTCAGTGTGCTTTTCATTATGTTATGTTAGAGGGATGAGTAAAACGCATGAAAATTCCAAACATATAAAGAACGATTTATTTGTTTTGGGTTTGAATTTCTTAAAATTAATCTCAAAGTTTTTCTCATTTTTTTCTCTAATTAAAATGAATTTTACAATGAGATGTTACTTATTTTATGAAGTTATGGAAAAAAAGAACTTGAGATATTTTTGGATTTTTATGTGTAAATTGAGATATTTTCTTTTTGGGGAATTCAGAATAATGATGAATAGGGTTTTAAATATTGCTTAACTAATATATACACAGGCTTCAGTTCATGTTTTAGATGCATACTATACATAATACCTGATATGCATGACTAAGGAAAAGTATTCACAAAGACAAATAATGTTTTATCTCCTGCTTGGAAGAGAAGTGAGTCCCCACATTCCCTCTTAGAATATTTACTAGTCTGTGATTCCATGACTTGAATTGTAAGTGACATTACATGAACATAATATCTTGAGGATTTGGTCTAGCAAGATTACTATTTCTACATATTTGTAGGAAATCAAACTATTGCTCATCAGGACTTATGACTGGAAAGACAGAAAGATCACTTCAAATAAACCTAAGACTATAAACTCTGCAAGCGTCTAAATATGAGTGAACTAACATTTTCATTTTTGGTACAAATTACATCTAAACTACTGAATAAAGATTGACATTCTTTACTGATAGTAGATATTACTCAAGAGTTTATGTATTTTGCTTCCACAGAAAAGGGTTTTCAGTATTTTATCAAGTAGGTGAGAACAGAGTAAGTTAAGACTTATAAAAAGTGCCCATTATTGCAAAACCACAGTATTAAAAACTTTTAATGCTTCCAACTCATGTTCCAAAAGATAAAATATGGTTTCTAAAATTTTTAATCAAATATTCTGTTACCATGGAGATATGAAGGTTGAATAAAGTATTCTTGATTTTACTCTGGTAGAGTACTATTTTGAAATAGAAATGTGGGTGAATATTTGAATTTTTGGCTGAATTTAAGATGATATAATTTCATAGCTTGCCACTGGGAATTGTCTGTAAGGCACTGACTGAGCCTCCATAATTTATGTTCACTTTTAAAGGATTTTATTGGATCTACTTCCTGACCTTTCTTACATTGGTAATTTAAATTCCATTACTCTGAAATTGGGCAATACATGCATGTTATAGCTAAAGTTCAAGCTTCCATTCATAGAAGGAGGGAAACACAGTTAGCAGATTCATGAATGCTACTTCTATGTACCATAAAATTCAAGAAGTTGTTCATTTGCATGTGCATGTTTTTAGAAAGTAAGAGTTTCTGCTTTGATCAGCATGGCATTTCAGATGACTTCCTTGAATAAAAAGCAAAAGTTCTTAAACTTTTACTGAAGGATTTTGCTGAAGCTTTTACTTATTAAGGACCTATAATCAAAGGAGAACTTCTTACTTTAAAAATCAGATTTACTAAAAGAGTATAAGTCAAAATAGACTTTGTGAGTTTGTTCATTGTTTGGAAAATGGCCTGGTTTAAGTTCTAGTTGTGATTCTACAATACATTTCTGAAACATTAATATTTATAACATGCTTTCACTTAAAATACTTAAAACTTCCTGAAATGTGTTTTAATATTTCAATTAGGAAGACATTTTGTGTGGTGTATGATAAATGCTTGGGTTAAAAAGTGATTTTTGTTTTCTTCTGAGGCATGTGAAAGAAGAAAAACCAATTCACATTTTATAAAGTTCATTCCAGTACCATCTATAGAAAGAGCAATAATTTAAAAACCTTTAAAATATATCAGTAATTCCAAAAATAAAACAATTTTTATAGTAGTCATTGAAATTGAATGTGAAATACTTGCAGTAGAAAAGTCTATTACATGGACTTTACTTGGATAAAGCTATAAAAAGCTAGTTTTTTGTATGTTTCAAACAACTGAATGCTATGATAAGAAAACCCTTATGCATAAAAAATTAAATCCTTTCATAAAAACTTTTGTTAGAAGATGCAGATATTTCATTTGGTTTGCATGTAAGTTCAAGAACATCTATTTTCTAACAGTGTTTTAGTAACAGAAAATTAGAATCGAAGATGATGGTTTTGCTCTTTCTGAGGAAACTCTCAAGAGAAGATATAACTATGCCAAGATACTGACTAATGAGTATTATTTCAACTGTAGGCCGTGATTATACCTAAAATGTCTAATTATCAATACCCATTTCCTTTAAAGTCTCAAATATCTATCAGTGTAGAAGAGTGGGAAGACACCAAAGACTCCAAAGAACCAGGGCACCACCGCAGCGGCCACCACAACTCGACCTCCAGCGACCAGTTGGACCATCCCTTGCTGTGGAGAAAGAGCGTGCAGTGGGCCCGAAGACTGAGCAGAAAAGGTCCAAAACACTCTGGTAAAACAGCTGAAAAAATAACACAGCAGCGACTGAACCTCTACAGGAGGTCAGAAAGACAAGAGCTTGCTGAACTTGTGAAAAATAGAATGAAGCACTTGGGTCTTTCTACAGTGGGATATGATATGCTCTTTAAAACTACTGTATATGTGGACTTGTGATTTCTTGCCAGTAGTTACATAGTTGGCTCTAATTTAGTATAGAATTGCATTTTTGTTTCACAGGTCAATTTGTAGGCACTGCTGACACATATCTAATCTCCTTCAGAAAGTTTAAATAATAATAAAAATAAAGTGCTAAAAATTTTAAGCATTTACTTAGTCCACTAGGCACTGTGCTGAACCCATTGCATAACTTATCTCAATTTTAATATCACAAAAAATCTGAGCCAAACCCTCTGTTTCCATTTTAGAGATGAAGAAACTCATAAGTTAAATAGCTTGCTAATTAGCTCATTAATAATCAAGCTAAGATTTACATCGAAGTCTGTCTGGCTCCAAAGTCTCCCTTACACACACACACACACACACACCCCACACACATACACACACACACCATAAATCTTATTCTAGGGCCTAGGATAAAATGAATTTGAGGCATTGGTAAGTAACTAACTGTAGCAGCCATCAATGAACCAAAATTTTCCAATAAAATTTCATTACTTTCTTGTGGTCCAGAAACAAAAAGTCTTCAAAAGCTTTACTTTTGAAGCTCAAATAATGCTTTATCTCATATAGTATGGATCTGTCTCAATAATTGTTAGGCTCCTATGTTGATCTGTGATTACCGTATAGACCATATAGACTCAACTTAAATAAATAATTCAAAGATAACTCTAAAATCTATCATTCATCACTGTGTGAATATTATTTTAAAAAGAAATTTGGTCAACTCAAAAGAAAACCAAATGATAAATAAGGTCTTTTGCTATATACACACCTATAATTTTGGTAAATCAGGACCTGAAATTGTGTCAGTATTATGCAGGTTAAGAATAAAATAGAGTGCATTTCATATTAACCCCCATCTCATCTTTATTACTAAAGTCTCAACTTAAGACAGTGTTCACAAGGAGAAATTTTAACCATTAAATTAGAGTTCAAGAGAAGTTGCCTGTGTTTCTTTGAACAAGAAAACAAAAAACAAAGTTTACTGTTGCTCTGCGCCAGGTACTATGCTATATTTTCTCATTACTTCTCATAACCCTGATTAGACAGATGTCTCATTCTACCCTTCATGAACTTGACTTTCAGAGGCTGAATATCTTCCTCAAGGACACATAGTTGAAATGGGTTGGAGTCAGGATTCCATTCGTAATTGAAATTTATATTTCACTTATTTAAATGTAGTACAGTCATTTGTGACCAGTAATTTTAATATAACTTCATTTAATGTCGCACATTAAGAAACAAATTAAAAGAAAAAAGATGCTCATTTTAGAAATTCATTAATAGCTCTCTGCCATTTAATGACATTGAGTATGATTATATTTTTATAAGATTATAGTCCTATATATGTATACTTTTGTTAGTTATTATTCAGCTACTTTTTCTTTTAACGAAAACTTCTAGTAAATGATGGCTCATCCAAGTTTCAGTTGTTTTTCATGAACGTTACAACCTTATTCTGCTCCTGTAAGCAGTGTGGCTGACAGTTTGAGTAACAATTTGAATCTCAAAGACATAAAAATGCATGAGCTGACTGCATGGGAGAACCATTAGAAAACATACTATGTTTTTGCTAATGAGAGCTCTATCAGGTACCTCGTTTATTTTTACTATAATTTGTTGATTAAATTTTCATGCTCTTAGAGAAAGGAAAAACAGATTCTGTCCAACTATTTTCCCTCTTTTTTCTTCCTTTTTTCTTTCTCTCTCTTTCTGTCCATTTACCTCCCTATAGATCCATCAATTCATTCTAAAATATGTACTGGACACCTCTAATAACGTAGCGATTGTAAAAACAGAATTCGGGAACTAATACATCACGGTCTTCCGAACCTCTCCATTTATTCCTAACTCAATAATTCATCCACTCTCCAGGTATTACTGGGTTGCCTTCTCAGTGCCAGGCACTGTTATTCCAGGCAGTGGGAATAGAACAATGACCTCTTCAGGCAAGACCTCGGCACTTACAGAACTCATAATTTAGTGTCAGCCAGTATATTTGTTGAATTATATTACCTCTCTGAGCCTATTTTATTATCTGTGAATGGAAATAATAATACCTACATTGTAGGTTTATTGTGAGAGATGAATGGGATAATGAATGATAAAGTGGTTGGCCCAGAACTGGCATTCAATTAATACCACAGGTATACTGTGTATCTGTTTGAGTACTGTATGTATATCTGTTCTTTATACATAAAAAAGTAACATTCTTTTTTTGCACACCTCCAAAAAAAACCCCAAAATTTTGCATCATCGGACATTATTATCTACACAGAAAATGAATGCTTTAAAGCAATTATTGCTTTGCATGTTAACTGGTTTAACCATGAATCACAATCTGATTTTTTTCTAAGTATGCCTGGCTGCTTGGAGAGAATTAAACGAGATATGGAATCTACAGGAGAGAGAAAGAGAAATGTTAAAAGATGACTCTTGAGGGCTCCAGCTTGAGAAACTGAGTGTATGCTGGTGGCGTTCACTAAGCTTAGAAGAAGACAAACACTTTGGGATGAAGATAATGAATTTAATTCACGTGTTTGGGCGACATCTAATGAGTGATGCTCTGTAGGAGGCTGGATTTCTTCCATATTGATGCTCAAGAAAAATAAATGTGTTTATAGACTTGAGAGTTGCCAGCATATAGATTTTAATTAACGCTATACGAGTAGATGAAATAATCCCCAGTGAAGACTACAGGAGAACTCTAAAACACTGGTAAGGAAAGAAGTATTTTAAAAAAAATGTTTTAAGTGTCTAGAACTGAGTTATCTCAAAGATATGCCATAGCACTAGAATATGCCATCAGTTGGTCACATGTGTCATCATGGCATCGATCCCCTATACCTTCAGAAGGTCGTGGGGCCTAGGTGGTCAGAGCCACCCCTCAAGCTGGTTACCTCCAGCCATAAGCAGTTTTGTTACTCCAATATGCTGCACAAATATCATTTCCTGTGTGTTCCGTCATATGAAAAAATGTCGGGAAGTGATGAACTAGAGAAACAAAAAAACTAGAGAAACAGGAATGATGATTAATAGTGCTGAATAGTATTAAAAGTATAGTGATATGTCTCAATGAATATAATATCAGTTGAATGATACGTCTAAAGCCAGATCTGAGTTGCTTGAGGAGTGATATTAGGTGAGGATTTGGGTATGTTGGATTTAAATATATTTGGATTGACTATAAGTAACAGAAAAACCGAAAGCAGCCATGGTTTAAATAAGACTAAAGATTGTATTTGTCTTGCGTATCAAGACTTTCAAGATAGTTTGTTCATAGTTGGTGGGACCCCACCCCAAGGAACTGGAAATTCAGTCTTCTACCTTGTTGCTTCCATTGCCAAGGTCTTATCATACAAGATGAAGTTAGAACTCCTGTCATTTTGTTCACCTTCCACACAGAGGAAGGAAGGAGGGACCAGAGAAGAAAGAACTGTCTCCACAATTAAAAGATATTACAAAGTAGTTGAACACACTATTTCCACTGTATCCCGTTGGCAAGGATGTATGGGTTTCTTTGGTGGTCCAGTATTAACATATACAGAAGACAAGAAAAGTGGATACCAGTTAAAAACTAGAAGTCTCTGCCTCAGTAGACATTTTTTCAAGAAGTTTCATTGTGAAAAAGAGATGAGAAATATGGAGATAGCTGGAGGGAAGAGTTGAGAAGGAAGAGGAACTGTATTTTTTTTTTTTTTGGAAGATCAGAGAAATATGAGCATGTTTAAATATTGAGATTGAGCTCTTAGTGAAAAAGTTAAAAATACAGGAACAGGAACACATTTGGAGTCCTTTGCTTAGATGCTCGGAAATAAGAAAAAGTTACATGTTTTTAAATGCAGTAAACTTGGTAGGTATTTTGACAGGAAGTTGAGAGATAATTTATATGATAATAGGAGGTAAAATCATGCACTGAGAATGACGGCAAGGATGGAAGGGTGGGTGTTTTGAAAATGGTTGGCAGCCTCAAAGGAAAAGAGGCCCTTTCTGTGCAAAACTCTACCAAAGCTTCTGGTTTAATTAACACAGAAAATTTCAAATGTGAATAAATATAGAAATGATAGTATAATAAACCAATATTCACCCAATATCCTGCCTTAACACTTATCAACTCATGGCCCATCTTATTTCATGTATGCTGCCACCCATTTCCTTTGCCTCATATTATTTTTAGGTATATCAGACATCATATATTTCAATTTATACCTTTATCATTGCAAGACTAGTTTTAAGAACATAACCATCTACCAGTTTCATGATTTAAAATAAGTATTTAATATCATCAAGTATTCACCTGATGTTTACATTTCCAATTATCTCATAAATGTCATAATGTTTTATAGTTTGTTTAATCAGGAAAATTATTTCATGCATTGAGATGGATAATAACTTTAAGTCATTTTTAATATATGTTTTCCCATTCTCATATTTTTTCTATCACAATCTATTTCTTTAAAAAAGTCAGTCTTTGTCCTGTGGGGTTTCCCATACTCTAAATTTCCAATCTAAATTTGCCCATTGCATTCTCCCCCCCACACACCCTTTTTTTTTTTTCTTAACCAGTCTTTTGGTATTGTTATGAACGCATGGATTTAAACATATTTTATATGTTTTAATCCATTGCAGTTATGTTATTTATCATATTTTCCCAGATTTGCCCAGTGGGAGCCTCTTCAAATTGCCTTTGCAGTCATTGTCACGACATCAACCATCTCTGATGGACTTCCCTTGTTCTCTGTCAGGCTAAATGCTGCCACCCTGGAATAAATCATCCCTTCATGAATCCTCAATTTCTTTTAGTGGGAAATAATATTTCAAGGCCATAATAAAGATTTAGAGATGCTTAATTTTACTGGGTTTTTGTCTTTGTTTTGGGTCTTTTTCAGTGGACAGAGCTAAAAGGTAGATAGATAGATAGATAGATGATAGATGACTGATAGATAATTAGGTAGATAGATGATATATAGACAGATGATAGAGAAATAACAGGTAGATTGATGATACATAGATAGATTAGAGAGAGAGAGACATTTTTTAAAAATTTCATTAGTTAACACAGATACTTGCAATTGAAATCCTGGTCTACAGAGTTTTTATTTAATTTTTTCTATCATATCTATGTGCCCTTTCACA